TTTCAACTATTACCACTGTGTTATGGATTTATGGATTTGCATCATTTGTATTTGGTAATGACTATTTTGATTGGACATCACAAGTAATGAAAGAATCAATTGGTTTATATTGGTGTGTACCCGTAATCACTTTCCCAATTATTATTGGATTATCTTCTGATTATGATATCTTTTTGTTTTCAAGAATTATGGAATTAAGAAGAAAAGGATTGTCAACCCATTTAAGTGTTATCATTGGTGTAGAGAAAGCTGGGTATTTAATTTCTTATGCAGGTATTATTATGGCAATTGCTTTCTCTGGATTATTCTTAAGTGCTATTTTGATGTTGAATCAATTTGCATTTATCTTAATGTTTAGTGTGTTGTTAGATACTTTTATTATTCGTTCAATTCTTCTCCCTGCTATCGTTAATTTACTTGGAGAATTAAATTGGTTCCCTAAAAGATATGCTATCCAATTCGACAACTACAAAAAGTATATGGATACTATCTCCCCAGAAGTTTCAGAAGAAACCCCAATCGTTCATAATACTCAAAACGGTAGTGAAGAGGGAAATGAAAAAACTGCTTTATTAACTAATTAATAATCATTTTAAATATTTCTTGTTTTTGTTATTTAATAAATAATTGAATAAATGTTACCTATAACATTAAAAACAGTTGTATTTCATTTTGAAAGAATAAAACAAAGTCCATGATATAACGTTGAGGTAATAAAAACAGTTATTAATTCGTAAAATAGTTGATTATGAAAATGAGAGGTATATAAATTAAAGGATACGAATGAAAATTTTATAAAGACAATGTTCAAAGACAAAACTTCGTATATACCGATTAATACAATTTTTTTTTGCTATTAAGAAGGGATAAATTAATGCCTTAACAAATTATACTATAATAAAGCAGAGCTTGTCTAGGCATTCTCAGTTTTATCAGTTCTTTCAATTCTTTGTTGTGGCATTTATTCTTTCTTGAAATGTAATTAATCTCGACACTGCCTTGAGGGGATTTGTTACATCTTGAATAACTTGTTCATTTTCTTTCAGACATTTAGTAAGATTTCTTATTTCTGTAGTTTTTCTTTAACACTCTACCCCTTATCTTATTTTAAGTTTTAATTCCTTTCCATTACATTATTTTACTTAGTATTTCCAGGTATTTTTTTGGTTAATTTCTTAGAGTATATATCACACTTATACCTAATAGTCATAACAAACATATACAAAACAAGTTATTACAATAACATAGTACGATTAGATAAATGTCTGACTGAGTTATTGAAATTAATTCAAACCTTATTAACAAATCTGGAGGTGCACTAAAAAAACAAACGGAAACAATAGTTACTAGAAAGTAGTGAATAATGTCCAACAACATACACCACTATTTATAAAAGTAAGACAGAATTAAACTATAAAAAGAAAAGAAAAAATAACTAAGCACAAATCAAACGAGTCACCACTTAACAATAAAAAGCTTCCTTTAAGATATTATAAGTGCTAAAACAAAACACTGAAGTGTATGATGTTCAATTATTACATTAAACTCTTTCTAACATTCTTATAACTTTTTCTATTTTTATTCTTTCTTTCGCTTCTTGTTTCCATGTTTTTTCAATAATTTCTTTAATATCTTCTTTAACTTCTTGTATTATTGTTGGTCGTTTACCTGTTGTGATTGAATTTGCAATATCCCATGGGTATTTATATATTTCTTTAGGAAATGATCTTGAAATGTAATGATTTGTAACATTGTTATTGAATATGAATATATATCGGATGCCATTTTATAATGTTCTCGATTTAATACTTCTGGTGCCATGTATTTTGGTGTTC